CACATAAACTTCTTCCTGAAGAAGTCCATTCAAGAAGGCACTTTTAACATTCATTTGATGCAACTTGAACCCTAAGGTACATGAAACAGCCAGCAGAATCCTTATCGACTCAAGTCGTGCAACAAGGGCAAAAGTCTCATCAAAATCAATCCCCTCAACCTGAGTATACCCCTGAGCAACTAATCTTGCCTTATTCCTAGTAATAGTACCCTGGTCATCTGTCTTGTTCTTAAAGATCCACTTGGTACTGATCACATTGCAATTTTCTGGTCTGGGTATCCACACATTATTCCTAGCAAATTGATTTAGCTCCTCATGCATTGCATTTACCCAACACTCATCACTAAGAGCCTCTTCAACTTTCTTAGGCTCGACTTGAGACACATAGCTAGTGTATGCTAGATTATTCAATACTCTCCTACGAAGTCTCATCCCTTCATCTAGATCCCCAATGATATTATCCTTAGGATGGTTAGATTTAACCCTAGTTGATGGTTCCTTAGAATGTTTATCTAGAAATGTTTCCTTTTCAGATGTTTCAGGCACAGGTAGTTCAGTAGGATCACTGGAAACCAAACGATCACCATCTTTATCACATTTTTTAGCACTCTCCCCCTCACTCACACCATCATCTATCACAACATTTATAGACTCCATCACCACACGGGTACGTGAGTTATACACTCTAAATGCACGGCTATTCCTCGAGTACCCCAGGAAGATCCCTTCATCACTTTTTGATTCAAACTTACCCAAGCTCTCTTGATCCCGCAAAATGTAGCACTTACTCCCAAATATTCGAATATACTTAACAGTAGGCTTCTTACCCTTAAGAATTTCATAGGGTGTCTGATCAGTCTTGGGTCTAAGGTAGACTCTATTAACTATGTGGCATGCAGTGTTAATAGCTTCTCCCCAAAAGTGTAGGGCTAATTCCTTGCCATGAAGCATGGCTCTAGCCATATCCTGAAGGACACGATTCTTCCTTTCAACCACCCCATTTTGTTGCGGAGTGATAGGGGAAGAGAACTCCTGCATTATCCCTTCATCCATACAAAAACTCTCAAGGTTGAAGTTCTCAAATTCTTTTCCATGATCACTACGCATCCTAGACACTTTGAGGTTCAGTTCTACCCCATAACAATTGTCGGATGTTCTAACCCCTTCAAGGACTACCCTACCGGATGAATTATATACGGTACATCTCTTCTGCACAAAACTAACCTCAAAATCATCATCACAGATTTGACTGATGCTTAGCAAATTTGATTTTAAACCTTCCACATATAG